GGGGGGGGGGTGCAGAAGGCAAAATAAAATAAAAAATGCCCGGAGAGGGACAGAGCAGAGCCACACGCAACACCGAGGTGGTGCCTGCGTCACGGCCGACACGAGCGAATTCCCCTGCACATATTTAATCACTCCTTCCCTCAGGGCGTCAGTTTCTGCTTCTCAGTCGCTTGTGTCGACGGCAAGACAGAAGAATTGGTGGCAGAGGGGCCGGCACATACTTCCCTTCGGTACAATGCCTCCTTTTCCTCCGTCGTGGCTCTATATTGTTTGTTGGTTGTTGTTTTTTGCTTCCATTCCGACTCTTCCGTTCGCCTAAATTGCCCTCTACAAGGGGCAGAATGATTGTATCCGCAGACAGACAGACACACATATATATATATATATGGATACGCGCTTGCGCGTTCGTGTGCAGCCCAAGAAAATGAATGGGAGAGACAGACAGAGGAAAAAAAACAAACAAACAAACTAGCGAAAAAAAATGACTTATGTACCGATGTGCGTCACTCGTGGCGCCCCGGGTTTCGTGCCGATCATCCACGATACCATTTGGCTGCTATCCTGTTACAAGAGGACGGTGTAATGGATACTCCCCCTTTTCCTCCATTTCCCTCTTGCACGCCAGTCATCACATCAGGCGGTGCATGTGCCCACTTCAATCCCTTTCACTTCTCTACGAGTCATCTGATCTCCTATACAAACACACGCAAACACACGCACACACACTCACTCACTCACTCTCACATATGCGTACTATGATGCGGACAATAGTTTTGCTGCCTGCTCATTCATTAAGGAGAGCTGGCGCTCGAAAGCACGTTTGTTCAACTGCCGCAAAGATGTGATGAGCTCTTCCAGCGCCTGCTGGTGCGTCTCCATCCACTCCTTTTGCTCGTTGAAGGACTTAAGACGCGAATCCAGAAGCGCCAATGTGACCTTCACGGCAGCACGTGACTTCTCTGCACCGGCCGCTGCGTTGTCTAGCTCTGCGACGACCTCCTGAACTTCATTCTCGCGTGTGCTCCAGAACACTCGCTGCAGCGTCAACGATGTGGTGCGGAATGTTTGTCGTATGCGGTGGTTGTCCTGCTCGTGCTCATTGAGCACACCCTTCTCGCTTTCCGTTTCTTCCTCTGAAACCTTGAGGAACGACGCATACTCTTCACGCAAAATGGTGAGCCGGTCCTGGAGCGTTCCCATTATATTTTCCAACGCTGTCTCATATTGGCGAACAATTGTCTCATTTGTTTTCTCCTCCTTCGTTAGTGACGTGCTGCGGCGCAAACGGGATTCCTCCTGCCGCTTCTGGTGGTCCTCGGCGAGCTTCGTGTCACGGAAGGCCTGCAGCTGCTGCTTCAGCGCCAGAACATTGTTCTCGTATATGACGGCATCCGACTGGCGTGCTTCCTCCGAGAGCTTCAGCGCCTCCGAGAGTCGCTGAATCTCGCCGCGTGCCTCCGTATCCGCCTCCTGTGTCTTCTCAAGGACAATCGCCATCTCCTCCATGCGCCCCATCAGCTTGGCAAATTCCTCCGCGCGGTCGGTGTCGGCGGAGGCAGCGCGCGAGTAGGCGTCGTTATTTGCCGGCTCGCTTTTGGAACGCAGACGGGCACGGAGATTCTCAATGATGACGTCTTTTGCGAGAAGGTTCTCCTCAAACTCGCGCTCCTTCGCCTCCATCTCCTTCTTGTTCTCTTGGATAATGGCCGCGATCAGCTCGTTCTGACGGAGTGCGAGTTTGTCAAGGCGATTGCGCTCGCGTTTGGTTGCCTCGAGTGCTTTCCTGCGGTCCTCGTCAAGGCGCTTCTTCTCGGCCTCGCTTACGCGCAGAGCCTCCTGCGCCTTGCCAAGGGCCTCGCCTAGCTCCCGCTCCCTTTCCTCCAGCAGTTGCCTCAGCTCCTGCTCCAACTGCTCCTTTGCCCGCTCGACGTCTTCCAGTCTCTTCGCGTTGTCCTCTTGCAGTTCGGCCATCTTGTTTTTCATCTCCGCCTCGAGTTCAGCAATGCGTTTGAGCGCCGCATCAAGGCCGGTGGCCGGCCCGTCACGGTCCGCGTACAGTCGCATCATCTCTCTGAACGGATAAAGGTCCACGCGCTCCTGTATCTCATCCTCGCCGACATCGGCGTCGTGTGAGACGTGGAACGTCACATACAGGCTACCGAGGCGGAACTGAAGGCCCTCAATATCCTCCGGAGCCACTCGGCACGCAACAGCGGCCTCCGCCACAAATACGGCTCTTAGAGTTGCCAGGCGATTCTCCAGCACCCATTTCCAGTCGTCCCCATCAAAGCGCTTCATGTGCTGCGACGTGACAACGGCGATGGATGTGGAAGACATGGAAGACGACATTCCTTCCAGTTGCTCGAGATCTCTAACCAGCGCATCGTAGGACATGTCGGCGTCAACGCTGGAGCCTCGCTTTTTCTCGTACACCCCGAGCTGGGGCTCATTCTTCCGCTCAAAAATCGAGCGTGGCAGCGAATTCTCCACGAGCTCCATTTTCAGCGATACCAATTCAGATAGCAAAGCTGAGGCACAATCGTAAGCGAATGATCCTTCCTTCCTAACCTACTATTGTGATAAGAAAAGCAAAACAGAAAAAAAAGATAATCAATATAAAGGCGTGCAGCCATTCTCAGAAACCCGTCACAAAGACAACAAAAAAAAAGAAATACACCCAAGCCCCACAAGCTTGGAAAAACGTTATGCTGGCTACTGAAACATTTTTCGTTTAAAATGCCTCTTCCAATTTTCGTCTCACTTCCATTCACTTTAAACTGGGTAAAGGAGCCAATACCGCCACAGGCGACCAACACAGACACCATCAGCACCACATCTACCATTCCAGCTGAATTCAATATGGAAAGCAGAAAAGATACCCGACCCTTAAATTTAAACAAAAGAACCAGACAAAAAAAAAAAACATGCCTACCATTAGCCTCAAAAACACCACACTTACTCTTCCAAACATTTCCTTTTCAATTCCATAAGAGCAGCCTCTAAATCCTCTTCTAGCCTTTCGACCCGCGCAGCATTAGATGCACGAAGAGTATCTTCGCACTCCATAAAACTCCTAATTGTCTCCTTCAGTACCCTTACAGTCCCCCGCAGCCTAATGACACGCCTAGCAAGTACGACACAACGACTACAGTCCCTGCCTTCCGAGAGAGTCGAAAACGACGATGAACCCTCCTCACGCTCTGTATACAGTGACCTCCGGTGCCAAGTGGGGTCCACAACATCGGTAACACCACCAACGCCACCGGAAGAACCAGAAAGTACATCACAGTACCTTTGATTCCCCCCTACAACACTTTGACGCGAAATTTCACCTTCTGGAAAACATGAAATGAGAGAAGGCCGCACCACCTCAACGGCGAAAAGACCAGCATTACACCCTTGCTCACCAGCCACAGATCGGCGCGGTACTTCCACTTCCTTCTCACGCTGCCGCAGTGCCTCCAGCTCCAACTTCATCTCCTCCACACACTGCCGCTGCACTTCAAATTCCTTCTCACGCTGCCGCAGTGCCTCCAGCTCCAACTTCATCTCCTCCACACACTGCCGCTGCACTTCAAATTCCTTTTCACGCTGACGAAGTACTTCCACCTCCGCCTGCAGCTCGACCATTAAACAACTCCGCTCTTCAAATTCCTTCTCCCGATGACGGGATGCCTCCAACTCCACCTGCAGACCCTCCATTGAACGCCGAAGACTTTCCAGTTCAGACTCCAAATACTCACTGGAACGGTGTAATTCCTCCAGCTCCAAATAGAGCTTCTTCATAGAATAATGCTGCTCTTCGTATTCCTTCTCTCGTTTACGCAGCGCCTCTAGCTCAGACAGAAGCTCCTCAATAGAGTGGCGAAATTCATTCATTTCAACACCACAGGACAAACTAACTGGCTCCAATCCACTAGACTTTGTACCCACAGGTTCGTCTGGCTGCTTGTCAAGGTATTCCTCATTCACAGCAGATACGGTTCCCTTAAACTTCTGCTTCACCACCCCCTGGACTCTCTTGGCATCAGAGGCCACCCTTGACACCTCAGCCTCAAGAAGACGCACCTGGGCCTGAAAATCCCGCTCACATGTGCGTGATGCCTCCAGCTCCGACTGCAGCTCCTCCATGCAGTGGAGTTGTTCCTCAAAATCCTTCTCTCGGTTACGCGACGCCTCCAGCTCC